GGTACCATGCCAGAAATCCTCAACCGCAAGCCCATTGCCCAAAACCTCGAACTGAAACCAACAATCGTCACGCAGGGCCCATCTGCCCAGCCATATGTTCTTCTCTTTCGTCTTTCGAAGTTCACGCGCATACCATGAATGGCCCACAACTCCGGAAACACTTAGCAGCTGCCTAGACCCTCAACCGGCATGTCACGCCTCGCATTGATTCCACCAGCTGGCCTCGGCACTCTGCCTCCAACTTCGCCTGAAATTGACGCACTCACTCCTACCCAGAGCCTGAAGTTTATATCATTTCTTTCACTACCACAGCTGCTGCTTTAGATGGGCAAACATAGACCATGTGAGCCAAAACAGGCATTACAATTGAGTCCAGGTCCCGTTTAGGGTTGAAGGGTTGGGGATGTCTCGGTTCTGGGCTTCCGCCTTCACGTTCGGTCTGGAAGCGGCGATACGACGCCACAGCTCCAGCAAGACTTGCCTGCGTGCCGCGGTGTTGCGACGCACCTCGCACGCGCGCATGCGCGCCCTAAAACCTTGAATAAACCTCAAAGAGTACTTGCTCTACCCAGGGAACCTAAATCCCAAGTTCGGAATGTTCCGTATTGGATGATAATTTGGTAACTCTTTGACAGAAGCTCAAGGCTCCCTAGGTCTATCCGAAAGCCTGTGGCACCTCCACCTCGAGGCTAGGTTTTGGGCCGTTCCCCGTAAGCCCCAAACGCTGAACCCCAAACCGTACGGCTCACAGCCCTCTACCCTAAACCTATGAAGACTTTGAAGCTGGTAAGAGGCCTGGTCAGCCAACTTCGCTTGCACCGTGGCCTCGTGAGCCTGCGTCGAGGGTTGCGGTGCCCTTTGGAGGACAAGGGGCTCAGTATTTTAGACGCTTTTCTGGGTGCTCTAGGGCTCCATACGGCCTATGCATGGGTTGTTTCGGGGTGTTATCAGGGTACGCGGACCTCTTCAGGCTTCAAAAGCGGCTTTCTACCGGTCTGAAAGCTGTTTGGGATTCTATCAGGGTTCTATGTTCAGGAATGTATGGCTTCATGAGTTTGGGATCTTCTGGTTTAGGATGCAGGGCCGGAATCCGATAGCAATTTCGAGTGCTGGACGTACCCGTCACGGGTACGTGCCCTGGTGTATGCATATACATACATACATACGTACATACATACATACATACATACATACATACATACATACATACATACCTATATACATACCTACATACCTACTTATGTACCTACCTATGTACCTACCTATGTACCTACCTACCTATACCTACCTAGCTACCTAGCTACCTAGCTACCTAGCTACCTAGCTACCTAGCTACCCAGCTACTACCTAGCTACCTAGCTACCACCTAGCTACCTAGCTACCTAGCTACCTACCTAGCTACCTAGCCACCTCGCTACCTAGCTACCTAGCTACCTAGCTGCCTGCCTGCCTACCTACCTACCTACCTACCTACCTACCTACCTACCTACCTACCTACCTACCTACCTACATACGTACATATTTACACACATACATGCATGCATGCATACGTACATACATGCATGCATACATACAAACAAACATGCATACAATTATACAGCAAAAAGGCTTCAGGAGACCGGCCTTGAAGACATGACTTCAGTTATGACCAAGCCGAAGAGTGTCCTACTGAAAGTCGGCCAGAAAGCCGCAAGAATTCAGGCACAAACCCTGATCCTGAAGGCCCCGTAAGCCCTTGATCGTTGCAGCCAAAACCCGACCCTTCCCAAACCCCTAAACCCTAAAGCCCTAACACTCCGAGAACCTCGCCCGTCGACAAACCCTAAATCCCTCGGTTCCGTTCCCAACCCTCCCCTCCACCCACCGGGGCCTCGTTCTCTGCCTTGGCCGCGCGAGTCTCCGCCTTCGCCAGAGGCTCAGGGTCTGAGGTGTAAGGCTTTAAAGAGTGTACTGATTACGGATTTCAGACTTTAGGGGTTTAGGGTTTAAGGGTGTAGATTGGGTTTATGGCTTCGAAGGCTCAGACGTATCTTATGTTATGGCAAGAGCACATGCAGAGGGCATTCCAAGTTTGAGTTGCAAAAGATGAAAGAGCTTTGCCGCGGTCTAGACATTAGCGTTTAAGCGAAGTCCAAACTGCTACAGCAAGCAAACCTCAATGTCCCTTAAAACTCAAAACTAAGCTACAGGTGCCGAAAAGGCTCGAAAGATAACCCTAAAACCACTGCCGAATACCGAAAGCCCTAACAACCAAAAAGGGGACCCGAATTTCAGACACTGTCGGTGAGAATCGCAGAGTTCCTAATAGGAACACCCTAAAAAGAAGCCCCTAAACCCTCCTCATAGGAGTGCAGGACGTGCAGTCCGGTATAGTGCCTAATATACGGGCCTTAATAATTACCTATACAACTTGGGGGTTCCTTTCGGTAATTATAGTATAACAGGCCCCAAAGCCCGATTCTAGGTATTAAGGATCCTATATTATCTTTCATCTCCGATTGAAGGTTCTCAATCAGGATTTTGGACCTTTGATATCATGTGCCCTGAGAATGTCTTCCCACCTGTTGTAGACTGGATTAAGTCCGTGCAGAACCGGGTTCCTCTAAGGGTTCCTTTCAAGGGTTATCTGTAGGGATTTAATTCGGGGTTCAGGGTTTATGGTTTAGGGTTTAGGGTTGAGGGGTTTAGGGTTACCCATAGGCCCCATAGTAGTTCCTTCTGGGGGTTCATATTTAGCATCCTATAAGGTAATCCCAAAAAGAACTACTGTGGGGCCTATGGGTAGTTAGGGCTTCAGGGTTTCATGGTTTACAGGGGTTTAGGGTTGAGGGGCTTAGGGTTATACAGGAGGGTATAGTTAGAGACTCCAATACCCCTTAATTACGGAACATACCTTAAATCATAATAAGGCCCCTATAATTTAAGGTATATTCCTTATTTAAGGGGTATTGGAGTCTCTGGATAGTTAGAAGGCACCTCAGCGGCTGCAGCGCGCTCGGCCTGGAGATTGGTGACAGGTTCTGGTGCGGCGGGGTAGAGTTTAAGAGTTTAGGGTTAGAGTTTAAGAGTTTAGGGCTTAGAGTTTAGGGTTTAGGGTTTGTTTACCTGGACCCTAAAGAACCTACCTTTTTAGGGATTTATGAAAAGCAATCAGATAAGAGGACCCTTAAAAGGTAGGTTTTTTAGGGTCCCGGTAAGGGTTAGGATTTCGGGGTCCACAGGCTCTATAACGGCGCCTTTCAGGATTCTAGGACTTAGGTTTCGGGATGTCAGTTTCATGATTCAGGGCTTGAGACGTAGGGTTTGAGGTTAAAGGTGAAAGAACGCGTAGTTTGCATATTTCGGGGTTGCCCCTCTCCATTTGCTGGCCATTGTATCTACTTCGGGGTAACGAGAAGACGCGCCGAGCACACATGTCGAGTGGGCATGGTGTTGCTAGTTTAGAATTAAAGTGGGATGTTGGGCCAATCATTCAGTCGATGTATTACTTGGAAAATGATGTAAACTCCGACGCCCTTGTAGTTCTAAGCCCATTGGAAGGTCCCGGTCCAAGGTCAAACCACATTTTAGCATGTAGCACCAAGTCATAGAAGCATGGATATGAATTACCCATACTGGTCTCTAGGGTTCGTCATGTTATAAGTTTATAGACGTTGCAAGGCAAAGTGGACCGAGGTCAGGCTCACAGTTGCGTCTGTGCAGAACAAGCAGTGGGATAAGGCCAAAGTCTGCGAGCCATTCCAAAGTGGAGCTTGGGAAAGCCTCATTCCACCGAAACTTGTCCCGAACCTGTAAGGGATGGGCACCAGAAATGCTACAGATTGACGCCGCAAGAATGGAACGATCCGAGCCCTGATGCCAACAGAACCACAGGAAACAAAAAAAAAAAACACCCTTGCGGCCCGAAGCCCTCTGAAACCCTACATGACACAAACAGACTCTCAAGCAACTCTTACAAAAGATATCATCCTCTAACCGACTCCTAAAGCCCCAAGGAAACCGCTCAACCCCATAGTCGAATGTTTGCAAAGGCCCTTACCCCCTAGAGTAAAGCCCTCAGCCCCATCAAACAAACTCTAGACCCTAATGCAGGGGCCTTAATAATTAGTATAAGGTTTGGGTATATTATACTATAATTACAACAAGGAGCCCTTTTATTAAGGCCCCTACATTAAACCATTGGAAAGCAGACGCCTGGGTCTGGGCCACCTCCAACGCCTCAGCTGCTGTTGCCTCTGGAACGTTGCAGGGTTTAGGCCTTTGGGACCCGAAACCCTAAACCTTCACGGCTTCGGTAAAGAGGCTGTGGGGCTGACAGGCTGAGGTCTTCAGGGCCGTCAGGGCTAAGGGGGCAACTGAAGGACTTGAAGTTTGGAGATTGGAGGTGTATAGATTAGGGTTTAGGGTTCAGGATTTAGGAGGTGCGGGCTAACAACTGCTTTGGTTAGGGCTATAAGGGGTCAAGTTAAGGGGCCCACCTCCAGGGCTTAGGGCCTGAAGGAGTTGAAGCTTTAGAGCTGGGGATGTAAGGTTTTTCAGGCGTTGGAGATCGACGTGTTGAGGGTTTAGCTGCGGAGTAAGTTGTTTCTGGCTCACGCACGTCGCAACTCGCCGCACCACAACAGCCATTGTATCTCCCAGTCTTGGCCCTGCAAGCCTGACAAAGATCCTTCACTCAGGGCTTCTGTTTACAGGCGTTTCGAGGTCTTTTAGGGTGACATGACTCCATATTTACTCTTCTAGTCTGAACCCCTGAAGCTGCTAGATTCTATAGACCAAGTACAGAGCCGAGCACCGCTCAACCGAAAGACCTCTAAAACTTTCCAGAGCCACCAGAGCCCCATAAAAGACCGAACACGAGTACTCACTCAAAGGGGCCCTGAGTTGAAAGGGGCCCGAAACCCTAAACCCTAAACTTAAGCAAAGGCCCCCCCCCTTTCGATTGAAAAGCCAGAAACGCGCCCCCCCCCCACCTCGTTCTTGCTGGCCGCCAGCTCGGCGATCTTCAACTTGAACTCAGCCTCCGCCTTCCAGACGAACGCGAGACTCTATAAATCTCTTAGCAAATGGTTAGTTCTCTAGAATAGGGTCCTTTTGGGGGTCCTTGTTTAGAAGGGTGCCGTAGTCTATTGGGGACCTAAAAAGGGACCCTAATGTAGAGAACTATTTAAACGAAGGTTTGGGTTTAGGGTTTAGGGCTTAGGGTTTAAGTTTCTTGAAAAGAAAATGAAGGTGTGGGGCTTTCGGGTTTCGGGGTCGAGGGCTTAGGGTATTTAGGTTTCCAGGTATCTGGGGTAGAGGGTCTTAGGGCTTAGGGTTGGGGGGGTACTGGTCTTGAGATTATAGGGTTTAGGCTTTAGGATGCTTAGGTTTTTCGTGCGGATGGTTTCACTGCTTAGGGATCTGGAGTTTAGGGGTTTAGGGGTTCAGGATTTGGGGTATTTAGGCTTTTAGGTCTTTTTGGTTTGCCGTGGGATAGCCCTAAACCCTAAACCTCTAAACCCTAAACCTTAAACCCGAGGTGTGTCGAGTGCATACCATGGCAATGAGCTGTCTATAGTTGGGTAATACCACTCAGAT